ATCAAAGCAGATGCTGAGACTCATAACCAAATTTTGGGCAGAGTGCAGGGAATCCTATGAAAGAAGGAGGAGATAGTGGGGCCTGAAAAGGACAGGAGCTCCACAAGGAGAGCAACAGAACCAAAATATCTGTGCACAGGGGTCTTTTCTGAGACTGACTCTCCAACCAAGGACCATTCATGGATATAACCTACAACCCCTGCTCAGATATAGTCCATGGCAGCTCAGTGTCCAAGTGGATACCCCAGTAATGGGAACAGAGACTGTCTCTGACAAGAATTCAGTGGCAAGCTCTTTGACCACCCCCTCCATTGGGGAGCAGCCTTGCCAGGTCACAGAGGAGGACAATGCAGCCAGTCCTGATGAGACCTGATAAGCTAAGATCAGATGGAAGGGGTGGAGAACCTACCCTATCAGTGGACTTGGAGAGAGGCATAGGGAAAAGATGAAGGAGGGAGGATGGGAATGGGAGGAAATGAGGAAGGGGGTACAGCTGGGATACAAAGTGAATAAATTGTAATTAATATAAAAAATAAAAATTTAATTAAAAATTATTTTAGGTCCAGTATGGTAGTGAATATCTTTAATCCCAGGACTGAGGGGAGCAGTCCGTAGTCATGGAAAAGAAATTTATGCCCCATTGCCTTGCTGCAAGCAGTTAACTCATACTTTTTGCTGTTTAACAAGTCCACAAATGTTATCTATTGTAGCCACTCATACAGGAATGTTATGTAGCTGCTAAAAAGATGTAGCTTTATATGCACTGACTTATCAGATGATGTATTGATTTGTTTTCTGCTGTTGTGATAAACACTATAACCAAAAGGACTTGAGAATGAAAGGGTTTACTTCACCTTACAACTTCTTATGAAGGAGAGTGGGGACAGGAACTCAAAGAAGGAACCTGGAGGCAGGAACTGAAACAGAAGCCATGGAGAAAAGCTGCTTTCTAGCTTGTTCATCAGAGCTTCCTCATCCTGCTTTCTTATATAGGGCCCTCTTCCCAGGGGTGCACTGCCCACAGTGGGTTGAACTCTGCCACATCTATCAATCATTAATCAAGAAATCTTAGTGAAGGTTTGTTCCTTCAAGGTAACTCTAGCTTGTGTCAGGCTGACAAAAAAACTACTACAGATGCCAGACAGACAGACATATATACATATGTGTGTATATGTATATATATACATGTATGTATATGTATATATGTATGTATATATATTTAGTCAAAGAAAACAACTATTAGAATGGTATGCTTGTTAAAAGTCCAATTTTGTAAACACATTTACAAATCTATGTGTGAATATATGCAGAAAGGAAGCCTAGACAAGTCTACAGCTAACTGTTCATTGGCACTTTTGGGGAGTAAAATTCTTTTTTGTTACACCCTCCCCCATTTTTAACAAAACGTTTGTTATTCTCAGGAGGAAAAAAAAAACATGCAGTATTAAGATGGACATGTGTAGGAAACAATGGGGAGTCTTCCTGCAGCTACAGACTCCCTGCCTCAGTCCAAGGTGAGATGGCCTGAGCACCTTCCTTCTCACAATGTGGCTTTTCTACTAGACAACATGATAATAAGAGAGGAGGCACACACTATGTATGTGTTCCTAAAATCATTTCCTGCACTAGAGCCAAAGCCAAGTTTCTACTTCAGATATACCCGACTTAAAAAAAGTCAGAGAAACTCCAACTGCCAAACTGGAAGAGACCTGTGAGATCATCTAAGCAACCCCTTAATAGGTAGGTGGGAACAAGGAAATGTGTTCCTAAGAAAAGACTTATCAAGCATTTTTTGAGAAATAAAATTTATCTCCCACTCAAAAGCCTAAAGATACATCCCCATGGGTGACAATTTAATTCTAAGAGCCAACACACTCAATAAAAATGTAATTTTTCTACACTACTAGTGAGAATGTAAGTTGGTAAGCCATTTTGGAGAAGGAATTGACAATGTCTCTTAAAGATGCTGCTGCTCATATTTTGTAAGAGGGTAATTCCACTACAGATAATCTTCCTGACAGAAGCATTCACCCAAACTCAACTATCCAAGAATGAACACAGAAGCCCTAATGGTCATAGCTGCAAGCTGGAGATGGTCTAAACACCCACTAGTAACAGAATAGATAGATAAATAGTTCTTATGCTCATAAACACATTATTAAAACTGAGTCAATTAGAGGCACATATTACAATATCGGTGTATTTCACAAGTATATTATCGACTATATAAACAAGTTTCAGAATAATACATACATCACTGAATACCATTGATATAAAACTTACAAACTTTTAAAATACATGAGGCATCTGATTATGTTCCTTAAATACACACACACACACACACACACACACACACACACACACACACATACATATATGGTAAGGATTAAAGTATGAAAAAATGAAAAAAAATAAACACAAATAATCAGGTCATTGTGGAATTTTAATTATGGAAAAATAGACTCTATTGGTAATGTCTTTTTTTAACCTGGACATCATATTATGTCCAGATTATGTCCATAACAATGTATATACTGTGTTCATTATGCTATTTTGAATGTACAAATATTTCATAACACAGTGCTTTTTAAAATGCAACAAATCCCATGCTAAATAGAAAGCTGATCACTGTCGAATATAACAAGACACTAAATGCAGTTTAGTAAATACAGATGTTGCATTCAAAACTTAGAAAGTTGTTCCTTAAATCTTCTTCATTTTCCCAGGACTAGTTCCACAGGAGGAAACTGCTAGAGACCTAGCAGTTGGGTGTAGTCAGCCAGGGGTCAGGAGACAATCTTTTAGCTATACGAAAGAGAACAATTTTATTAATTTCTTGGGTTTGCATATTTAAAAATTAAATAGTGGAGCAGATTGTCTTATAGATTTTTGTTTTCAGATGACTGCTTCCTTCAAGTTTTTTGTTTGTCCTGTTGATTAATTTGCTAGTTAGCAGCAACTGCTAAACCCATCCCTGTAAAATGCTCAAGTATTTCCCGTGTCAAAAAAATTTCAGATTTATTCACAGTAGTACTCATCAGAGCCTTTAATGTCCTTTATGTATACTGTTACTCTCTAAGAAGAAAATTCAGTGAAAAAGCATTTCCAAAACATTGTTCCCCCCCTCGACACACACACACTTTAAATCAGAATCTATTAACATTCTCCTAAAACTGTTGTCCTAGAAAGACTTCCTTACTATTTTAGCTGTCAGTGTTTGGAATCCTTTGGAAGGACTGGTGAGATGGCTCAGTGGGTAAAGGCACCTGCTGCCAAGCCTGAGGACCCAAGTTTGATCCCTGGAACCCACATGGTAGAAGGAGTAGAAGTGACTTTTGCAAGTTGTCCTCTGACCTCCATGTGAGAGTTATGTCACATGCTCCTCTCTCACACATGCACATGAAACAAATTAAAATGTAAGAAAAGGATAAAAAATACTAGACTCCTTTGCAAGGGAAGACTGTAGTTATATATTGTAACATCCACTGAGTAGGTTTCTCTCAGTGAATACCTTATCAGTATAGAAACCTATCTTCTCACCTTCAGGAATGAGATCTAACCTTTACCTCACAGGCATTGTGGCATATTGAACCAGAAGCTTATGAGCATATGGGATGGGAAAGCTGTGTCCTAAATGTGTTCTTTACATCTAAATGTTGGGCCTACCCTAAGTGTGCTGCTTCAGGCCAAGCTCCCCTCCTTTAAGTGACAGCAGAGCTGAAAGCTATTCCTGGTGGGAGCTCAGAGCCACACAGCTAGGGCCTAACCCAGAAGTTGCAAGTTTCTTTCTTCATGCCTTCACACCATACCAAGAGTTGGCAGGAGTAAGCTCTTGGAGGCAGAAAGACCTGATCATCCAGGGAAGGAGCAGCTCCATCCTCTTTCAGGAATAAGCCATTAACTTCAACTTCCAACACTGATATTTCTTAGAACCATCTCCCTACTCAAATCTCAGAAGAATCTGCTCAGGTTTGTGGCTTCCTCTAGACTTTCTTAGAAGCTGACATACTTGGGGGTCTTTCATTTATAAACAAAGATTACTTTGGAAAAGTCTATACATGAAGATTTTTAATGTCCTTGTTCTTTTGAACAATTGAAAGGAAAGCAGAAAAATATGTTATTTTCCTTACAGTATGTACCATGTTCTCAATAGAAGCTAACACTAGATCTCTTTACTTAAGATCTCTTTTCCCCATCCCAGCCATCTCACCTGCTTGGGACCCATGAGCTCTGTCCTATATCTATTAAAAGAAGGATACACCATATTGACTCATATAGTCCCAGGCCCCTATATCAGGCTTGGCACTTGGCCAGAGGCTGGGAGACAGAGAGTGTGTGAGGAAATGGGGTGTTGGAACCTAGAGAAGTAAGCTCTATTTCAAATCAGTCCAAACTACGCTCTGGAGAGGTAAAAGGTGCCTGTGAGGTTCAGGAGGGAGAGAGGGAATCAGAAAAGAGAACAGACAATGGAGAAACTGCACCAGGGAAAATGAGGGGGTTCAGGAAGTCAGTGCTGAGATGTCATGAGCCCTTCACCCAGGGCTCTGAGGCCTGAGCCCAGTTTACTTCAGGGAAGAACTCCTATGTCCTGTCACCTGGCCAGAATACTCATTAGCTCAGAAAATTGGAGGTCCAGTGTTGCTTCTCTTTTCTTTTCAGCAAATGCTGACCACACACACCCCTTCCCTCTCACCAGTAAATCTACTCTTGAACATAAATCTAAAATAAATAAATAAACAGCCCATTCTTATCAAAGAAACAATCACAATTGCTCCAATTGTCTTGAGTTACTATTCTTGGGTATCTTTTTTCTCCTTTATGAATCCAATCAGTGGCTATTTCATTAGAAGCATTTTTAATGCAAGTGTTCCCCCCAAAGGCACATGCAGGCAGATAAGAACAGACATACAGACACCCCCTTAGACAGTATCCTTGAGGCTTCCCTTATTTCAGCCAGCTGAACGAGGGCAGGGTTTGGAAATAATTTCTCCGTGGCCTACCTTCTGATTCCGTCAGGTCTGCGAAGCAAGCGGTAGCTGGGAGGCCCTGGCTAGGCCGCCTCTGTGAATCAGCAAAGAAGTCCCTCAGACAGGGATGCCGACAGCTGCTGTGTGCACACTCTCCCTCTGTCTCTCCCACCTCCCTATCCTCCTTCTCCTTCTCCTCCTCCTCCTCCTCCCCTCTCCGAGCAGCTCTGTGTTGCTATGCAATCATCGCCAGGACTAACAGCACCATTCCGACCTCAGGCAAAGACACCCTTGACCGGACAAATGCAGAAAGAGAAAGGACAGTGTTATAAAACTACCAGAGCTGTGGCGGCTCGCGGAGATTTCAGTTCATTAGAAGCAGAAGAGCAAAACGGAAGAGCCTGAAAAGCAGAGGGAGAGAGGGGGAGCAGGAGGAGAGGCTTCCACTGGAAGGAGGAGACAAAAGAGCCCTGGAGATCAATAGGAGCTGCTGAGCTGAGTGAACTGTCTGGCCCCCAACTTCCACATATCCCGCCCAGAGCCAAAACCAACTTTGGAGCCAGCAGCTGGCAGGGGCCCCTCAGTAGCCAGTCCAGGATTAAATTTTTGTGCCAGGAGCTGAAACACTATGCTCTAACAATTGTCATTGGTATTCAAGGTACAGTCTTGGGCACAGCTCAGTATGCCAGTGACCTCTGAGCTCCTGTAGTCACTCCCTCCTAGACCTTCAGTGTGTGAAACTCAACAAGTAAAAGAAAGAAAAGGGACTTTGAATGATTTGAGAAAATAAAGCTCCTTTCTGGCTCACTTCACTGACTACCCCACTCGCTGTCACAGATGTTGTCCACACCAGCTCTTAATCTTTTAACTTTTAAAGTTCCAAACATCCCCTAACAGATCTGGATGCAGAATATTATGCTCCTTTACTGAGAGCTCAGCACACACCAGGTCACTTAACACACACTGAGGGAATGAACAATGAATGGATGGCTGGGTAAAGGGAGTCAGAAAACCCTCACCACTCTCCTCCTACCCAAAAGAGACCAAGGCTTGAAGCCCTAGAAGCTCCAGGTCTTGGCAAAGAGACTCCTTTTTCCCTCCCTCTGCTTCTGAGAACTGGGTATGTCCGCCGAGGATCGAAACTGCATATGCTCTGATGGTACTGGAACATAAAACAGAAAATACTTCTGGATTTGGGAAGTTAGTATGTCTAAAGGACTGAGAATTATTGCAATGAGTACTATTATATTTTAGAGTTGCTCTTCCTTTAATTTGTAATTTGTTAAATGACAGAAAAGTTTTTTGTTTGTTTGCTTGTTTGAGACAGGATATTATGTATCCCAGGCTGACCTCAAATTTGGTATACAGCTAAGGGTGACCTTGAGTTCTTTTTTTTTTTTTTTCTTTTTAGTTACATTTTGTTAACTCTGTGTCCCAGCTGTATCCCGCTCCCTCATTCCCTCCCCAACCCCACACTCCCTCCCTGGTCTCCTCCCTGCCCCTTTCCAAGTCCACTGATAGGGGAGGACCTCCTCCCCTTTCATCTGACCCTGTTTTATCAGGTATCTTCAGGGCTGGCTGCAAAGTCCTCCTCTGTGGCCTAACAGACTGCTCCTCCCCTGGGGGGTTGTCAAACAGCCTGCCCTTGAGATCCTGTTAGAAATAGTCCCGTGTTCCCCTTACTTTGGAAAACTACTTGGTTACTGAGCTACCACGGGCCACATCCAAGCAGAAGTTCTAGGTTATATCCATAGATGGTCCTTGGTGTACCTTGAGTTCTTAATCCTTTGCCCTTTACCTCCTGGTGCTGACATGATATGCATGCAGCACTGTGCTGGTTTATGTTGTGCTAGGGGACAAATCCAGGGCCCTGTGTTTTCTAGACAAACATATCACCAATTAAACTCTTATCTCAAGCCCCAAGAAAAAGGTTTTTAAAAGAATTTTAATTGAAAAGTAGCAATTGCTCATATTCAGTGAGTTGTATACTTATGTTATAGAGCCATTCCAGCTAGCAAATATAGCACCACCTCACCAACTTACCATCTTTTCTTGGTGAAAATGCTATTGCCTTTTAGCAGTTTGGAAAGAAGCACATTATTATCTGTGCACATGATGCAATATTGCCATTATTAACGTTTTCAATATGACCAACATTCTAAAGCAGGCAGATCTCTCTGAGTCAAGGCCACCTTGATCTACATGGTGAGTTCCAGAACAGCCTGGGCTACACAGAAAAACCCTGTCGTGAAAAAACAACAAACAAATGAATCCTCCACCAAAAAAATAATAATAATAATAAAAGTTTCTAGCTTCAGCAAATAGCTAGAAATGAGGCCTGATTTCTTCAAAGCAAACAAAGCTTAACAACCTAAATTCAGTCTGGAGACCTTGTTGTATAACAGTTTCCTCTGAGAATGAAACATTCCAGTCTGCAGGAAAGTAAAACAGAAAGGTAAAAAAAAAAAAAAAAAAAAAAAAGCTTCAGGAAGTCCCTGAAACTAGAACCCTCACTACCAGAGTAAGCAGAGAGAAGCTGCAAAGAAGAATCTCAGACAATCCAAGCTGCCAAAAATAACAGACAAACTGAGCTGTGAAGACTCTGAGACCAGACCACTTGCCTGAAAGAAGCAGAAAAGAGCTGAGATGCCTGGAAGAGGTTTAGACCAAGTGAGACACCTGGAAAGGACACCCTCCAGCCTGTTGATCTGCCTGCAGGCCATGCAGTGTGCTCCAAGGTTCCCAGCTTTGTGAACTGTCACCCTTGCTGGGGTGGGCTTTGGTGATGCAGCTGTCTTTGAGTAATTTCTGCTCCCATAAGAGATCCCCTTACCCATACTGCTGTAAGAAACCCCAATAAAACTTTTTGGTTCACCAAGTTAGACTTTGGTGGTATCTGTAATTTGGTCTGTCACGGACTCCTTATCTGGAGTGAATAGATGTGTGTGTCGAATTTCCTTAGGAAAAAAAATTTTCACACAACAGACCCACAGGTGGAAAGGGAAAACTGACCTCCTCAAATTGTCCTCTAACCTCCACACATGTGTTGTACCCTGTGTGTACTCCCTTACACACAAAGCAAACAAATAAATATAACAAAGGAAGAGATTATTTTGTCTCACAGTTTAAGGATGCAGTCCATCATGGCAGAAGATACATGGCAGCAGTGCTGTGAAACGGTTGGTCCTCCTGTATGCATGATCAGGAAACAAAGCAATGAATACTACTCCTCAATTCATTTTCTCCTTTATATTCAGTCCTATATTCCAGTCTATGAAATAGTGCCATCTACATTTAAGATTGATTTTCCCACTTCAGTTAATCCCATTTAGAAAGTCTCTTACAGTCACGTGCAGAGGTTTATCTCTTAGGTGATTCTCAATCCTGTTGACAATAGTACAGTCACAGCTGGTAATTTCTTCAGATCTAATTATTGATTATTATGATTATTGAATATTCATATTGAATATGAGCTAATTGTTTTGAATTGTTTTGTTCGGTTTATACTCACAACAAATAAATTGTATTAATACTTTCATTTTACAGTACAAGTATTATGACACAGTGACATTAAGTAATAACCCAAGCAAGCCCAAGATCATATAACTAACAAATTATGAATATAAGGCTTAACTTAGACCTCATTAGCCAATGCCTATATGATTAACCATGAATCTTATATTGTTTTTATTTCCCTAGCCAAGGCCTAATCCAGATTGGCAAAGGGAGGAATCTTCCAGTGGGAGCTGAAGCTATGGAGCCACAAAGATAAGGCCGTAGAAGGAATGGAAGCCTATGTTAAAATACAAATTAAGAATTTTAACCAAGAAGGGGATGTAATCAGATTTTTTTTTTTTTTTAGTAATATCACTTCTAATGGCTTTTATTCACAAAACATTACTGGGGGCCTCCCTTACACTAAGATCTGTGTTTCTGTGTTGCAACACAGGGCCATACCAAAAAAAAAAAATCTGAAATGACTTTCAGGTTGTTCACAAAAATAAATAAATAAATAGATAACTGAGGTAGATAATGAGGCATAAATACAATAAAGTGAAGGGCATAATAAAGGTTGGAATGAAGAACAGAAGGGCCAGAAATTTGGAGTACAGTTGTAGTATCCATCTGTTGAGGGTATGAAGCAGGGCGGTGGGGATGAGGGTTTAAAGAAATGGGCACTTAGCACCATCACTGAAAAAATATCTTTTCCCTTGATGGGGAGCAGCCTTACCAGGCCACAGTGGAAGACAATGCAGCCAGTACTGATGAGACCTAATAGGCTAGGGTCAAATGGAAGAGGAGGACTTCCCCTATCAAGTCCCTATCAGTGAACTTGAAAAGGGGCATGGGAGGAGATGAGGGAGGCAGGGTGAGATTGGGAAGGAATGAGGGAGGGGCTACATCTGTGATAAATTGTAATTAATAAAATTAATTAAAAAAGAAAAAATATGTCTTGTCCCCACTAATGGATCTTCTTTATGTTTTTTTTTTCCTCTTACCATTTCTTCCTAGTCTGGTTATTTGCTAAGTATCTGAAGGGAACAAATAATAAAGTGTGAGTATAGTTTTTTTTTTCTCCTTTGGGCATGGGAGAGCTAGTATAAGTTGATTTCTACTGCCTTTTGCCATTCCACAGCCTTCTTTGTTGACTCCATGACCAACTTTACCAAAAGTACTACTTCAGATTATTTCTAGTCTTCCTAAACACCCAATGCCAGGCACTTGTGTCAGCAAATAACCTCTTCTCTTTACTGAAAAAGTAATGCCCCTTCTGAAAACTTTTTTTTTTCCTCATAATTTCTTACAATCTTCCTTTCCATCATCTCTAAACAACCCAAAATTTATTTTCCTTCTCTAGGTCAATGCCTTGATCGCACAGCATTCTTTCTGTATGGCCTCTCTCTAAATATCACTCTCCTACTTCTCTCATTCCCTCTACTTCTTCTTGTCTCTGTCTCCATTGCTTTTTTATTATCTTCAACACCTTTCCTGCTTCTACGTCTTTTCTTGTTGCCTGAAAACACAAGAAAGTCAGCAGTTTGTTAACTTCTGTGATCTGAGAAGTAGGAATCATATATGTTCACTAGAGAAAGTCCCCCAGGACATCCCATGCACATCACACAGACAGCCAGGTTAAGACTGTGTCACCAATGAGCTGTAAAATGGAGAGAAGAAGCAGCATCAGAGAAGAGAACTCCCAGGTTAAAGGTAAAGTGAAAAAAGTAGGGTTAAAAGTGGAACAGACAAAAATAATTGTAAATTGTCATTTATTATCTACAAATGTCTCCTGACAT